TAAAATGGATGGTTTAAGATACAAGTTTTTATCTACTGTTTTTCTTTAAAATTGTTTTATACGATATAATAAAACTCTAATGTATACTAACAGGACCAGTTTGATACCATTTTTATAGTTTGAAAATGAAGTGTGCAGTTTTTAATCAATATTTAACCAATATCCCTAGACCATTGCGGTGTGTGTATTTACCGCAGTGATAAGTATACCACTAGCAATTAGTGAATACTCACTTTTTCATGTAGCGATTTCTTTGGGATGGACAAAACCACTAGTTCAAAAAAGTTAAAATTTCACTATTTTATGTCGAGAGTTCCGGAAAAGTAGTGATAATAAAAAACACTAATTTGGAGAAGTTAAAATTTCATTAATTTATATTGAAAAACACTAATTTTACAGTGAATTATAACTCACTGACGGAAATAGTGAAAATTTCACTGTTTCACTTTTAGAGAGCACTTTATCTATCGTATAATAATATAGGTACAATTAAATTAAAATAATACTTTTAATTGTTAAAATTGTAAAATAGTCAATGAATGTACTATAGTATAAAGATAAAAATAAAATCCCTATCTCAGCCACATATATCTAATGCAGCAGTCTACGAATTTTTGGCAAGGAATTGACGGAGCGGTCTAATAGCGAGTCTATTTTGCTGCTCTTAATTCTGTGACAAATTCTGCATGTTCCGCAATATATTCCAGTAAATTATGATGTTTTTTTTATTTTAATAAGTTAACGCATTAATATCTTTTAATTAATTAAAAATCGTAATAATTCATTAAAGATTTATTCTGTAATAAATCAACTTTGTCTCTTAGGTTTGGGTACAAATATTTTTATAATTTTTAATAAACTCTGGTAATTTATGGTGGGTGCCCAAAGAGCACACTTAGATCCATCCTAATTTCAGATTACAGGTGAATCACCCTGTATATAATTTATGTTTCAATTCTCACCTTTATCCTTGATAGCAAAATTTGATTCTAAGAATCTTCTAAGAAGATATGACCCGGAATAATGAAATATTCTTAGAACCTTCCCTTATTGCTAAGAATGTTCTTAGGGACTTTTAAAACATTCAATAGATACCCTTTTAATGATGCAATTAGATTCTTAGAAGCTTCTTAAAACCTTCCTAAAAAGCATTCTAAGAACATTTTAAGAATACGTTTTTGGAATGTTCTTAGAAGGTTTCTTATGGAGCTTCTAGGAAGCTTTTGAGAATATTCCCAAATGTCAGATACCCACGTTCTAATATGTTGGATTTTACATTCGTAAAATTCTTCAGGAGGCGACAAATACGCCTCACTGTCATAATATGACAGTAAAATGTATTTGTCGTCCCCTTAAAAAATTTTGCGACATATTAATATATATTTATTTAAAAATATTAAATAAACAATTTGACCTCTAAACCATAAGTTGTATGACATTATTTCATAAAAAGTAAAATTAGAAAATTTTGTGTTGAAGATAGTTAGGATTATACCCTTTTAATGATGCAATTAGATTCTTAGAAGCTTCTTAAAACCTTCCTAAAAAGCATTCTAAGAACATTTTAAGAATACGTTTTTGGAATGTTCTTAGAAGGTTTCTTATGGAGCTTCTAGGAAGCTTTTGAGAATATTCCCAAATGTCAGATACCCACGTTCTAATATGTTGGATTCTACATTCGTAAAATTCTTCAGGAGGCGACAAATACGCCTCACTGTCATAATATGACAGTAAAATGTATTTGTCGTCCCCTTAAAAAATTTTGCGACATATTAATATATATTTATTTAAAAATATTAAATAAACAATTTGACCTCTAAACCATAAGTTGTATGACATTATTTCATAAAAAGTAAAATTAGAAAATTTTGTGTTGAAGATAGTTAGGATTATTATACATAAAAATGTAAATTCAGAAATAATAAATCGGTATACAAATTAATAAATATTTATTTTTAACATAAAATAAAATATAAAAAAACAAAATATTTCCTTATAAAATAATTCTTCATAAAAGAAAAAACCAAATAGTTCTTCATAAAAAAACATTTTTCATTGTATTTAAGTTGGATAGAAGATTTTATGTAAAAGCCGGATAATTTAGATACCTATAGTAAAAGTATTTTTGTTATCGAATATTGTTTTAATTTAACAAATAACTATACAAAAATATTTTGGGTTGTGTTTTTTACTTAGTATTTAATACTACCTTTATACGTAGATTATGGTATATTTTACTATTATATAGGTACCTAACTGAACTGAATATGCTTAACAGAATGTTCCAGGAATATTCCTAAATGAACTTTCTATAGCAATTACTTTCTCAACATTCTAAGCATATGTTTAGAGTGGATTAATTTTTACCACTAAACTTTGTACCTTCTAAGAACCTGCCTATAGGCCAGTGAGAATATTCTTAGGATTATGCTATATTTCTTTTAAGCATGTTCTTTAGAAGAAATATTGCATGATCCTAAGAATATTCTCACTGGAAGGTTTAAAAAACATTCTTAGAACATGACTGGAAGAAATATAGCATGATCCTAAGAATATTCCCACTGGAAGGTTTAAAAAACATTCTTAGAATAATCTGTGCTATCAGGGATAGTTTCTAATACATATAATTATATCATAAAAGAGACATTAATCTGAAATTTTGGATGCAGCAATAGCGCGATGTAATCTATTTTCCTAAAATATTCTTAATGCGCAGTCCCTTTCTTTTGAACCGAAAATTACAGTAACATTGTTTTTTAAAGGGAACACTACAAATATGATTGCATTTGAATTGATTATTTTTAAAGATATTACTAAAAAACGCTTATTTGGCTCGAGTGTATTGTAACAAGTGTGCTTTGAATGGTTTAAAATTTTATATTTGAGAAAAATATAAATATGTATAAATTTCCGCGTCGAATGGTATGGTTCGTTTTTGGTATGGTTCGTTGAAATAAAAACGTGCTACCCACGCCGGAAGCTGCAGATATTTTTCGTATTGACTGCGTATTTGGCATAAGCTGGATATGTCCCAATACTGAAACAGCAACCACTTCGTCATTCCACTGAAAGCCTTTTTTTATTCGTTTCTATAAATTTTGAGATTAATTATTCGATAAATTTGTGGCTAACATTGCGATATGGATGATTTTCGTAAGTAATATCATAAGGGCATTTAATTTTTCCGAAAAGAATCGAAAAAATACGTTGCTAAGTGATATTTCAATTTAAAAATCCGAGTCGAAGAGGAGGATTTTTGCACCTGCACGAATGCTTTTTGTTAAAAAATATTACTTAGCATTGTGTTTTTTCGATTTTTTTCACAGGAAAAATTAGATGCCCGAATGGTATTTGACAAGACTATTTCATGAGTAACAGTTAACAATTAAAATATAAATTGCAATTTTTGGTGACAACAGCTGTCAAGTTTTGCCGCGGGTAAACTCGAAAAAACTGCTGACAGGTCACACAGTCGTTGACTATTTCCCTCGTCTTAATTTGCACCAATCACAAACGCACAAATGGTTTCTAGGTTTCCACTCATTACTTTTTGGACCAATCAGATTTCAGAAAACTAGTGGTTTTTTCAGTTTTGCAGCGATAAAACTACTATTCAGGTGAAAAAACCACTCGTTTATACGAGTTGCATAACAACCAATTGGTTGCTATGATAAAAATAATTGTCACTGTTGACATTTTAAAATTATAATGTTAAAAAATATGCGTTTTGGTCCAAAAAATCATACAGAAATTGAATCAGCAGTTAAAAATATTCGTGAAATAGTCTTGCCGAATACCACTCGTGATAAAATTTTCCCTGAAAAAATTTTTGATTTTTATTTACTCAAGATTTTTCCTTGGAAATTTCGCTCGTGGCATTAACTTCAAACCACTCGCCTAGCGGCTCGTGGTCTTAAAAATTAATGCCACTTGCGAAATTTTCAAGAAAAAAACATTCGTATAAAAATCAAAAATTTTATCGGTAAAATTTTACCACTAGTGGTATTATATACGAAAAAACTGTGTGACAGCACCTGTCAGCAGTTTTTTCGAGTTTACCCGCGGCAAAACTTGACAGCTGTTGTCACCAAAATTGCAATTTATATTTTAATTGTACCATAAATAATTAGTAGTAGTATAGTATAGTATAGTATAAATTAATACCTACATATTTATTATGTATGCAAGTATAATAGGTGCTATGTTTTGTAAGCTATGTGTATGCAGAGTTTCTGTTACTCATGAAATAGTCTTGTCAAATACCATTCGGGCATCTAATTTTTCCTGTAAAAAAATTCGAAACAATACAATGCTAAGTAATATTTTTTAACAAAATGCATTCGTGCAGGTGCAAAAATCCTCGTCTTCGACTCGCATTTTTGTTGCCATTAGCACTCATGCTTCCTGTTACTTCCTATTACTTAGCAACGTGTTTTTTCGATTTTTTTTGAAAAATTAGATGCCCTTATGATATTACTTACGACTATTTCCCTTTTCTTAATTTCCACCAATCACAAACGGTCAATTTTGAATTACAAATGGTTCCTAGGTGGAAAAACTGTATGACAGCACCTGTCAGCAGTTTTTTCGGGCTTTAAATTATTTGTGGTTGTTAAATAAAGTTACGCTCGTGCGGCAAATCTTCTCTTTCTTGCACTAGTCGCACAATTTACTATTTTTTAATTATTATGTAGGTTTTGTGTAACTCATATCTTTAATTTTTTAAATATGTTTCTTGCTGTTTATTTTTTCACGAAAACTCAATGACTATATTGGTATTTTGAACAGTTAATTAAAGTAAGTAAAGGTCTACTAATTATTTCGCTGCAGTGGTATTAAATTGCCGTTGCCGATATTTTTTTTATAGATCGGATCCGCAGCGATTGCAAGTAAACAGCCAATAGGCTTTGACATGCTAAAGATTTAATTAGATACACCTTGCTATATAAAACCAAAAGGGATCCTAACTGGGACCTACTTGTGCATCAACGATCTCCTGCGGTGTTCGGTGTAGCAGCAGGCAGCAAATATGGTGGGTACATTTGCAATTTTTTTTGCAAAAAAGAATTTAATTAACCCTTTTTATTTTTTTTTATTTTAGTCGGACATTAAACCAAGTGAACTGGAAAGTTAGAAATTTGTAAATAATGCACGTTCTTGTAATAATTTATGATTTTTTTAGACATTGAATTTGCTTTTAATGTTTATGGCAGTCAGGGTATCCTTGACTGTTTTTATCTTGGAAAATTATGCAGAGTTTTAAATTTAAACCCCAGTTTGGAAACTTTGGAAAAACATGGTGCAACCAAAAAAGAAGGTAGATACTTTTTAAAAATTTTATATACCATAAAGTAGTTAATTTAATAATCCCTATCTAATTAAAACAATTCTTTAATTTTTAAACGTAAACCTAATAGATTTAACTTTTTTTACTCTGACCACTCACTTAAAATAAATTATTCAAAAATTACTAATTATAAGGCATATTTGACTAATTGTCATAGCAAAAAAGCAGTCAATAATAATTCAAATTAGTAGATTTAAATTTAAAAATTATAGACTGGCAAGCGGATGTCTAATCGCTGCGCCACTGCCACTTTTATAAAATTTAGTTAAATCTCTCAATAAATATTGTTAATTATATTTTAAAGTTAAATATCTTTTTTGCTGTTTTGAGCTAAACTTTTTCCATCTTTGTTTCTTTTTATGGACCATTAAATCATTGAACCTACATGCATTTAACGCTTTTATTTGTTGTTTGCCGAAGAAATTAAAAACAATTAAAGAAATTAGTTACTTTTTACTCCTGGAAACGGTCAAACTTTTACTATTTGTAACTGGTTGATCTGCAAATAAAATTATTATTAAGTAGTAAAAAATAACTATTTAAAAGTGAAAACGACTATTTTATTAGATAACAATGCTGGTACTAATTAGGGCATCAGATTACTCAGTGAATACTCACTAAAGTTTTTTAAGTATGACCCACTGAGGATTCTGATATGTATTTTGGGTTAGATAATTCTTAAAAATGCAAGTCATTTAGCCTGAGTGTGTATCAATGTAATGTTAATATTTGTTTAGTTTTTTTTATTCTACGGTTTTATTAGTTTTTAATATTGTTGTTTGTTTTCATGATGATAAAAATGACTCTAGTAGGTACGCAATGTTTCCATTTAAAAAATTGGTAGACAATTTTTTTGGTTTTCCTTAGGGTCCTTCAAGGTGGCTTTACTGCGCGTGCGCGAGGAATTGTGTTCCACCCCCAAAATGTCGACATGTGACGCGGGCGCACGGTGCGTTGGAATGCTACTTTTCTGGTCAAAAGTAATTTGTGACCTTTATAATAGTCCTAAAGTCTTTAAAATTTTACGACCCACAAAATAGTTAGGATTTTGAAATGAATGGAGCATATTTTTGTTGGAAATTAACTGATCTACAAAAAAGTTTTCTTTTGTTTTTTTCGATAAATATAAGCGTTTCAAAGATAATCGCGCACGCGTAATAATAATAAGTTTTGTTTAATATAAAGTATATCCCGTCTATGGTTAGAATACTAAGCTCTTAATAAGACAAGGGTTTTTTATTAAACTTTTTCCTTAAATAATTCAAAATTTACAAAAAAGGTACATTACATTAGGTTTTTATTACTGTAAACTATTTTACCCCGAGGTAGTAAAATGTAAAGGATTACAAATATCTACATCAACAAAGAAAATGTTAATAACAAAATTTATGATTTTATATGTAATATTAAAAAATAACTATAGTTAAGATTATAAAAGCGCTTTAAGAAAAGTGCAATCTATAGCTGTTTAAAAATTTTAAATACAAAATTCTTAGCGCGCGGCTTTTATAAACCACTATCAGTTTCTTATGTGTCAACACATGTATTAATAACCATAGCCTTATTAGTATCTGTGATAAAATTGCTGTGTGCAGTCCTGGTTGCATAGTATGTACCGATTGCGGCAAAGGCCACGTCGTTTGACGGTGTGGATCACCTGATGTTCTTACATCTCGCCTCTGTTGGCTTACCAACCGAGCTTATAAGCTCAGGGAGTCCTTTGTTTTGAGTGTGTTCCACTACACCAAGTTACCCGACACTGATGAGACCCAATATAGGTCGAAACAGCTGTCTGTCGGTATTTAAAGTTGGTGGAACGCACTCAAAACAAAAAACTTTGGCGAGATGTAAGTTCAATTTTTTCTTATAGCCTTACTCATTATTCTTTGGGCTACAATGTGGTGTTAACATTTTTCTGGACCAACTTGGCATCTTCAAAGCAAAATTTAACTAAATCTAAATGATAAATCTATCATATTTATACTAATTATAGGCTAAGGTTGACTGAACCGTAAACGGGCACAGTTTAGGGATATTAAGAGGAAAAAGGAAAATAAATTTTATATGAAACAATAATTTAGATTAAGGAAAAAATAGATACAATAAACTTAAATTTAGCTGACAGGTAGAAACAACAATAATCTTTTTTAAAATTTTAATTCTTTATAAGTATAAATTAGGGATATTAAGAGGAGAAAGGAAAATAAATTATAGATAAAATATTAATTTAGATTAAGGAAAAAATAGAAAAACCACAATTTTGAATTCATAAAAGAAAAAATAAATAAATAAATTAAAAACCCTTCCTTATTTAAAATTAAATTTAAAATTAAAGGGAGTTTTTTCTAAATTAGTTCATGCCTGGTATTTAGGTATGACTTGATGTTCTCTTATGTGTGTAACTGGTAAAGTTAAATTGGAATTTTAAATAATATTCTGGTAAAATAAAACCTTTGTCGTATGAAATGTCCACAGGCGCGGATCGAGTATTTCGTTTAAGGGAGGGGCAATTTTTTTGTGATTTTACCCATCTTCCAGAAAATTCGTTCTTAAGAAAAAAATTGATTATATTTTAGTTTGTCATTCCTGGAATACTTGCATTTGAATAATGCTCTGTCTTTCTTGAAAAAAATATAAAATAAAAACATATACATATAAGTAAAGAGAAGAAAAAACAAAAACAAATTTTAAAATTGGTCAAAAAAGTTTTTTGGTTGAAAGTCAGGGGGGCGATTGCACCCATTCCCAGACATGAAGCAATCTAACCAGACCGTTTTATATAAAATAATTTTCTTTTTTAGATTCAGTGCACACTTTTTATTAATAAGATGGTACACTGAACCTACCTCCAAAAATATTTTGGGTTTGAGTGTATTAATATGTGCAGTGAATGTGGTACTTGACCCTTTTCTTGAGCTCTACATTATTTCCTTATACCCTTATCCACAATCCACAATGTGGATTGTGCCCTTATCGGTGTAAATATTTTGTTTATAAACTGGATCGCTTTAGTTTTCGCGACGTTAATTTTGATTTTCCACTGATCAAAGTATTTCTGGAGCAAGTCAAGGTGGATTTGCACCTGCTACCGACGAATTACGAGTCTTTATACACAGTAAAAAAAATCAACTCTAAGCAACACTAATTAGAGTTCCCACAGGTCCACACTAAATAGTGTTGTTTTATAACACTACAATTAGAGTTAATTTATAGTGTAATTTTCCCCAAGTAAGCAAGTATGATTTAACACTATAGCACTGAGGATAAAGTAATTTTACACTGTATTAAAAAGTGTTAATTTACCTAAAATCGTATACTTCTACACTTCCTGGGTAAAATCCCACTTTTGTTCAGTGTAAATTAACACTACTTTGGAAAAGTTCTAATTTTAGAAAGGTACTTTTACTCTTTTAGTGCAAACTTCTAGTGTAAATTAACACCATTATTTGAGTAAAACCTATTGGTTGTAGTGAATAAAACGAAAAGGTAAATAAAGAGAAACATTTATTTGGAACAAAAATCTATGACAATTATCAAAATCGGTGCCTTTTAAAATATAATTTTATATTTGAGTCCTATGGCTGGCAAAATGGTTCCTTAAAACGTAAAAGATGCAATGAATGCAATGTTTTACTGGCTGTCAACTTGTAAGCAATAAATTATCTTGAGAATTCATCAGTAATCCATTTTTCTGTTATAAAAAATGGGTGATCCCATTGGTAGAGAGGCGTCAGGCGACTGTATGTCAGGAATTTACCACACGTGTACAAATTTTCCATAATATTAATAAAAATGTAGGTATAGGTTAATATAATAACTATTACTCTTGAAAATAAAAAGTAAATCAAGTGTGTATGTATATATTATTAATGTTACAAGTACCCGATCTACTGCCATAAATTATTGATATAATATAGATCGGGTATGGACACCCGTAAGTATAATACTTACCAAAAAATAAGAATGTCCCCTTATGGATTCACTGTAATTAAAATCTAACTGAACAAAAATGCCGCACTTCCACAAAGCGGTATCTACGGATATGCACTGCGTAGGTACCAACCAAACATTTTAAAACGCATTTCGGTTATTACCAGTTTTTTCAGTCTATTTTGCCACTATTGGTGTAATTTAACTTTAATTGTGATACAATGTGCACTAGTAGTGTAAAGAAAAAGAGCTCTTGGTAACATCAAAACAAACAAAGAAATTGGCATGCACTGTAGTAGGGGTAATAAACACTCGCATTAAGTTTTTCTACCCTTTTGATTTATTTTAATAATAAATAGTGTGAATGTACCAATGAATAATGTTCATATTCTTTAAATGTGTTTAATAAAGCTAATAAGCACTAAATGCTACCTAGAGTATTTTGTAGGGGAACTTTTACACTTACAGGTGAGTCAAACCACGTCAAGTGGGACCAGAAAATTTCACGAAATCACCGATTTTAAAAATAACCACATTATTGTGTAGTAGGCATGACTTATATGTCACAGTAAAAAAATTGTTTTAAAATTCGTTTTTTTGGTAATTTTATTAAGGTTGACAATTTTGTCAAACTTTAGAGCACGGTAAAATTGAAAAAATAGAATCTCTGGGACCACTCTGTATAATTGAATTAAATTTTACACACTATTGTAGAAATGTTTAGAGTATATAATGATCATTTAATTAAGGTTAATTTGTTTAAATAAAAGAATTTTTCATACATTTATTATAAACAATTGAAATTTTGTATGTGTTCTTCACGCTGAAAAAAATTTAATCTTGTGTCATAATATGCGGCATACGTTTCCGTTTAATAAGATGTACTCAAAAATTTGCCTTTCATATGTCATTCCGGAGATATTAATTTTTTTGTCCCGCTGTGCGCTTGATCAGTACGCGGCGCGCTTCGCTGCTAGCTCGTCCGTTCGAACGGTTTAACGGTGTGCCTGAACGAAGTTTAAGTGACATAAAAATGCCGCCAAAAACTGATTGTAGTTTCTTGTTCGGGACCCTTTGGTGACTTAAAAATGATATTTACCAAAGTTTTAGCTGCTCCTCTTTTCAAAATTGTTCGAAAATTCATGATTTTTTTTTAAATTTTTGTGTATCTCTTTGACAGAGTACACATTTGCACACGGATTTTTATAAAATTGGAGTATATTATTTAGGAGACTTAGAGAATATTTTTTAATACTGTTCACATCATTTGATATATACAGGGTTAGCCAAAAATCACTTATTTTTAATAATGCAAAAGCGTAAATTCATGATTTTAGCATAACACGCAAAAAATATTTATTCCCAATTTTTTTTTAGATATTTCTAGGTCTATCAGGTTACAAAAGGGCATTATTATTAACCTTTTACAAGAAAAATAGATTTGTAATAACATTTAAGAAAATAACGCTTAGAGAGTATTTAAAATGTTGTTTAATTTAGGCTTTTTAGTAGTTTTCAATTTTGAACGAAAAATTGGTTGAAGTTAAAAAATATATTTACCAAAATTCTAACTGTTTTTTTTTTAATTTGTAAAAAATTCAATTTTTTAAAAATTATTTGTTTATCGCAAAGTCTACCTTTGCCAGAGTACACATTTGTACACCGATATTGTAAACTGTTTTTATATATATGCTTAGATTTATACAGGGTTAGACAAAAATCACTTTTTTATATAGTAAAAAGCATAATGCATAAAAAAGAATGTTCAAAAAATTTCGAAAAGAGGAGCAGCTAGGATTTTGGTAAATATTATTTTTAAGTCACCAAAGGGTCCCGAACAAGAAACTGCGGAATTTTTATGTGACTTAAACTTCGTTCAGACACACCGTGTGCTGACGAGCTAGCAGCGAAGCGCGCCGCGTACTGATCAAGCGCACAGCGGGACAAAAAAATTAATATCTCCGGAATGACATATGAAAGGCAAATTTTTGAGTACATCTTATTAAACGGAAGCGTTTGCCGCATATTATGACACAAGATTAATTTTTTTTCAGCGTGAAGAACACTTACAAAATTTCAATTGTTTATAATAAATGTATGAAAAATTCTTTTATTTAAACAAATTAACCTTAATTAAATGATCATTATATACTCTAAACATTTCTACAATAGTGTGTAAAATTTAATTCAATTATACAGAGTGGTCCCAGAGATTCTATTTTTTCAATTTTACCGTGCTCTAAAGTTTGACAAAATTGTCAACCTTAATAACATTACCAAAAAAACGAATTTTAAAACAATTTTTTTACTGTGACATATGAGTCATGCCTACTACACAATAATGTGATTATTTTCAAAATCGGTGATTTCGTGAAATTTTCTGGTCCCACTTGACGTGGTTTGACTCAGGTCAACTCTAATATTTTTACCGTTACACTAAAAAATTTACACAGGCAAAATTTTTTACTGTGTAAATGGTGGTGTCATTATTATACAAACCTAGCTTCGTGAGTGGTAGCTTTGGTGTATCGCTTGTATACGGCATATACACTTTTGGTGCTAGGACTGTACCTTGTACAAGCATTTAATTTTCCACTTTGACTTGAAATGTCCGGACAAATAATAACTTTAAAGAGTTATTAGTGATTCGTAAACCCTATGGGACGTATAGCTGTATATTAGCTAGTAAAGCCTAACCGTATCATCTGTGCTACGGTGCCTGTTGGCAAATTTGAATGTTCGTGGAATTTTAGGCACTTTCACTTGCACTAACCAACCATGCTGAGCTACTTATAAAACCTAGTGGTTAAAATATTTATTAATTTCCTAACTTCATTAAAAGTTCCCTATGTTTTTTTATTTGGTTTTACTTAAATTTCATATTTAGTATTATTTTTTAAATTTATGTTCTTTTAAAAAATAGGATTCCTGCTCATTTAACATTTCAATTTTATTTAAAAAATAACGAGCATTAAATAAAACATACATAATTTTTCATAACGTTGGATATAATTATTAACATTTCGACTTGAATACTTTAAACGACGTCTAATACACCAATATTGGTTGCTCAATGTTGGTAGCTGCTTATCTAATTTTGGAATAATTGACTCATCTAGTTTTCCCAATCGGTTAATTTCATAAAATGTTAATTTTAGGTGAAAAGACAATGAAGTTCGACGAATTTCTGCCTGTGTACAGCGCATTGAAAAAGGAAAAGAAAGACCAAGGCTGCTATGAAGATTTCATTGAATGTTTGAAATTGTATGACAAGAATGAAGATGGTCATATGATGGGTTCTGACTTGTACCATTCTTTATCCAACTTAGGTATGCTACCAAAAAATATAGGATATCATATCATAGATAAAATAAAAAGTTATCCGCCATTGACAATTTTCATTATTTTTAAAATGTAAATTGACAACATAATAAACTGCGCACCACTCAATGTGTCGCGACCAAAAATTTCGTCCATTTTCAAAACGACATAACTTTTTTATTTCTTGAACGATTTTATTTTGGTTTGTGATGTCTGCTAGCCCCATTATCTGGCAATTCATGCTATAGATATGAAGCTCACGGTTCTTCAAGTAAATTTACTACAGGGTGATATGTAAAACAGTGAAAAATTTCAATAACTTCATCCAAGCCCCGTTTGTAAAATAAATATTTTTTTCTCGTTTTTACTTTGAAATAATGAAGTATTATGTCTTACCTTGAAACATTTTTAAAATTTTTCGAATTGGAATCTTAGCAACAAAAATATGATTTTTTTTTCAATGGAGTACATTTGATGCTTTTTTGTAGGCAATACACTCAGCCTTTTTAAGAACAAAAAGATAAGATGGTGAAAGATTGTTCCTTGAATAATTCTGAACAAGCGACAAGCAACAAACTTCCATTATTTTCAGAGGAACCTAAGCAAAGACCACTTTTTCAAAATTACATTTTGGTGAAAATTTTCGAAAATTAAACCTGAACCGATATTTACGTTCGTGACATGTTTTCTTCATAAGTTTGACCTGATTTTGATTCAGTTGTCAAATTTAGGTTTCATATAAAACCAAAATCACCAAGAATCAAAATTCGAAAACAATTCCTGGATATTAAATGTCCCATTAAAATCTGATTGCTGGTTTTTACTGTTTTTTTTTACTGTGTTTTGCATTTTTAGTACGTTATTATCATGTCACTGAATGATCAAATCAAGGATCAAATGATGAAACTTAAATGCCAATAATTTGGTGTTGGTGGACGACAATGCCCGTCCGCATCGCGCTTGTATCGTAAATGAGTATTTAAGGGACCATGATATTGAGAGAATGAATTGGCCACCTTTGTCTCCGGATATGAATCCTATTGAGCATGTGTGGAGCAGGATGAAACTGAAGATGAAAGAAAGGAAAGGACGCATGGAAAATTTGGATGAATTGGTAAATTCGATTCAGGAAGAATGGGAAGCCATACCCCAGAAATTTCTAAGGAACTTGGTCTAGGAAATGCTCAGGAGGGTTAACGAATTATTACGGGTTAGGGGAGGGCCAACGAAATATTGAAAGTTATTATTGTTATTGTTTGTTACATTTTTCTGTTGAATGTTGTAGTTTTTATTATGATTATATCTTCGCATAAAATTTTCAAAAATAAACAAACAAATTTTGTATTTAACTTTATTACCAATTAGGTAGGTACTTATCAGTAATAAGTTATCACTAGTGAGCAATATAAATGTAATTTATGTAACATTATCCTAACCACTCAAACAAAAATGAATCCCCAAATGGCATTGGCAAAGGCATGTTATTGAGACATTTAACAGCCGGGAATTGTTTTCGAATTTTGATTCTTGGTGATTTTGGTTTCATCTAAAACTTAAATTTGACAACTGAATCACATCAGGAGGTCAAAATTATAAAGCAAACATGTCACAAACGTAAATATCGGTTCAGGTTTAGTTTTCGCAAATTTTCTCCAAAATGTCATTTTGAAAAAGTGGTCTTTGCTTAGGTTCCTCTGAAATTAATGGAAGTTTGTTGCTTGTCGCTTGTTCAGAATTATTTAAGGAACAATCTTTCACCATCTTATCTTTTTTATCTTAAAAAGGCTCAGTGTATTCCCTACAAAAAAGCATAAAATGTGCTCTTTTGAAAAAAAAAATCATTTTTGTTGCTAAGATTCCAATTCGAAAAATTTGAAAAATGTTTTAAGGTAAGACATAATACTATATTATTTCAAAGTAAAAACGAGAAAAAAATATTTATTTTACAAACGGGGCTTGGATGAAGTTATTGAAATTTTTCACTGTTTTACATATCACCCTGTAGTAAATTTACTTGAAAAACCGTGAGCTTCATATCTATAGCATGAATTGCCAGAGAATGGGGCTAGCAGACATCACAAACCAAAATAAAATCGTTCAAGAAACAAAAAGTTATGTCGTTTTGAAAAAGGACGAAATTTTTGGTCGCGACACATTGACTGGTGCGCAGTTTAGTTTAAAATTTTGTAATACCCAACAATTGAAGCTAGATAGAATTTTATATACGAGATTTGTTTGGCGCATTATGTTAAAATTATTATTTTTAATATTTTAGGAGAAAAACTTCCTGAAGATGAGCTTGATGAAGTTTTGGAAGACTGCCTTGACGAAGAAGACGATGAAGGACAAATAGAATATACTCGTAAGTACTATTGTTCGTTCTAATGCTTTTGCTAACGCTTTTTTTCACGCAGCTTTCCTAAGAAGAATGTGCGAGTTAGACCCACCTCTAAAACCAAAGAAGGCAGCGCCCCCCAAAAAGTAAACTGTTCATATAGCATTAAAATTATTATCTTTTTGTCTTAATTCAAATGCATTGTGTACTTTTAAATACAATAAATTTTAAGGAATGGTTATCATTTTAAATTTTCCTTTGAGCATAAGGCTTTTAAATTCTAGCATTGCTAGAGCCATCTTTGAACGAGTGACTTAAATAATCAAAAACTTAAAAGCTTCCTAAAATATGTAGGCAATGTATAGTTTTTTTAGAAAATGTTGAGGGGTTTTGATCCACTGGCGTAGCGACAAATTTTGCCCCCCCCCCGCGAAAATCTTTACTCTTCACATATTTTTTACATGTTTTTATATTAAAAATAAAAAATAAAACATCAGGTGACATGATAATTTTATAATTTTTATTTATTAAAAAAATATTTATAAACGAAAAATAACAATAACAACTTTTTAACCTAAAGAATATTTTTAAAAAAAATAAAGTTCTCAACTGATCTACCTGCAGTTTCTTGTTCGGGACCCTTTGGTGACTTAAACATGATATTTACCAAAATCCTAGCTGCTCCTCTTTTTTGAAAATTCATGATTTTTTTTTTAATTTTTGTTTATCTTAAAGTCTACCTTTGACAGAGTACACATTTGTACACCGATTTTTATAATATTGGAGTATATTGTTAAGGAGATTTGGAGAATACTTTTTTATACTGTGCACTTTATTTAATATATATAGGGTTAGCCAAAAATCGCTTCTTTTAATAAAGCAAAAGCGTAATTTTTCCATAACACGCAATAACCCATCCATGTTTTTTAGATATTTTTATTTTTATCAGGCTACAAAATGGGATTCTTATTAAGACTTATAAGAAAAATTGATTTTGAATAAAATGAAATAAAATTACATTTTTTATAGATAAATCTTTTTTGTGCATTATGCTTTTTACTACATAAAAAAGTGATTTTTAGCTAACCCTGTATAAATCTAATGATGTGCTCAGTATATATTATAAAAATCGGTGTACAAATGTGTACTCTGTCAAAGGTAAGATAAACAAAAATTAAAAAAAAAAATTAATAATTTTCAAAAAATTTCGAAAGAGGACCAGCTAGGATTTTGGTAAATATCATTTTAAAGTTACCAAAGGGTCCCGAACAAGAAATTGCAATCAATAAAAATCGGTGTACAAATGTGTACTCTGGCAAAGGTAGACTTTGCGATAAACATATAATTAAAAAAAATGATTTTTAACAAATTTAAAAAAAGCAGTTGGAATTTTGGTGAATATCGTTTTTAAATCTCCAAAGAGTGCCGATCAAAAAATTTTAACCAGTTTTTCGTTCAAAATTGAAAACTACTAAAAAGCCTAAATTAAACATTTTTAATATTCTCTAAGCGTTATTTTATTTAATTTTATTAAAAATCTATTTTTTTATAAAAGGTTAGTAAGAATGTCATTTTGTAACCTGATAAAAGTAGAAATTTCTAAAAAAAATGGGGATAAATCTTTTTTGCATGTTTTGCCAAAATCATGAATTTACGCTTTTGCTTTATTAAAAATAAGCGATTTTTGGCTCACCCCGTATATATCAAACGATGTGAATAGTATTAAAAAGTATTCTTTAAGTCTCCTCAATAATAGACTTTGAAATAAACAAAAATTAAAAAAAAATCATGAATTTTCAAAAAACTTCGAAAAGAGGAGCAGTTATGATTTTGGTAAATCAGCCATTTCATGATGACAGACGCTACCATTTGACCAAAATCTTGTCAAATATTTAAAAAAAACTGCCCAAAAGCTAAAGGGCCTTTCCACGCGTAACGGATAGGATAGTTGCCGTGTTTTTATTTACAAAATAATATTGTTCTATTATATTACCAATGTCAAATTTTTATAAATAGTTCTAAACTAAAGCTGTTTAACAAGGTTTTTATTTGGCAAAATTAGGTATCGTGGTTGACTCTTTAATTCCTTAAAAACTAATAATTTAAAGCGTAACGGACGGGACTTTGCAATAGTAGTAGTAAATAAAAACACGGCAACTGTCCTATCCGTTAAGCGTGGAATGGCCCTAAAACTGATTTTAAAGCTAATATTAAAAATTGAAAGTGGAGATAAGGTAAAAAAAAATAACATATAAAATAGTTATCTGACATTTAGGGATTCCAAGATTTTACTTTTTAAACTTAGATGACGGACGGTACAAAAAATGGAAGTGGAATAAATTTATTTTATGTTTCACCTGAATATTAGCAAATTGATAAGGGAATAAATTTAAACTTTATTATAATATACTAAGCATTGGACTAGATAAATATTTTTTACTTTTATTTTGTATTTAGTTTAATAGATAATATATAAGTAGATGAAATATGTGATGATGGACGCTACATGACGGACGCTACAAAAGTTCCACCAAAATGCTAATCTTTTATTTTTCAATTTAATTCAAATAAACAACCAAAAACTTCACTAAACAAATAAACTTTACATTTAACAGTAAAATATGCCATTACTTAAATACAACACACGATTCGTAACTGGAATTTCTTGTTTGAGCGGTTTGCAACGAATTGGAGCTTAATTTCATAAAAAAAATGTTTTGATTGGATAAAAGGAATCTTCTTAACATTAGCCCACCTTTTATCCAGCATCTCTTTTATATTTTCAACATCCTCAGCACAAACATATATAAAGTTGATAGTAGATAATTGCCCTTTGGCACATTCAAAGAAGTCATGGGCATTTACAGCTCAATATTTTTATTTCTTACCGTCCTTTTTACCACGCCTCCCAGTGCATCTACAGCACCCTTTCCGTGACTACTGGCAAAAAAGTTCCATTCAACAATAGGCAGGTTGAACTCTACATCATAGTAACACAAATTTGAAAGAGTATATTTATTTTTAAATTGGGCACTGTTTTGCATAAATGTTAACAATTGTAATAGATGGGGATAGTTCAAATGAATTTTCTTAAAAATTTCTTGAAGAAATACATAAACTGCGTACTTGTCATGTCCCATGTAGTCGCTTATAATGGCAATAGAAAAGGTCTGCTGTGGAGTCCAGACAACACAAGTAAATATTGTTACTTGTTTGTGAGACCAGTGTACCGATTGAATTTCATTTTAAGACACTAGCGAGTAGTTCTTAGCAAAGTCAATTTGCACTACAAGAACTTTATCTTCGGCAAGATGAACCTTTTGTTCATCAAAATACCATTCTTGCACCCTTTTAACAAAACAGTGTGTTTTAAACACTTTAAGTTGGCTCTAGCGTTTTTATCACTGAAAAAAGCTTATACGCTAATATAAGATAATGAGGTCCAAGTTACAGAAGCTATAGCTTCTGTAACTTGGACCTCATTATCTTTCCACTGCTTGTACTTAACAAGTATGTCGTCCAAATCAAACATATATTTAACTGGAATCAAAGCATGTAAATGTCATAATCGTAATTCTCACAAGTTTTTGTCATATACTGTTCTTCATCTATTATATAATATTGCAACACATTTGTTTCAGGAAATCAGTACTGCTTTTCGGAAACTTCAAAATATTATTTTCTTACTACCTCGACTCAAAATACGTTGTTTCGTCCCCGATTCCACGGCAGAAAGTTTACGTTTCTTGCATTGGTCAAGCTATACGCGCACACTCTAATAGCGGGAGTAAAAATTTTTTAGTCGTGTGCTTAACATTCAAATTTCGTACTGCCAACATGAGAAACACAAAAATATGACAGTTTTAAACCATAATTTTGCAATTATAACAACAAATAAACAATTTATGTTTTTACTTTTTTACTTATTATGTTGTTTTAAGTGTTTAATGGTACTTTTATTTGTTATAAAGTAGTAATTTGTTAATTAAAATACAACGTTTTATTTTTACTGCATTGGCACCGCTGAATTCACGGCCTACTGTTATTTATTTATCAAGCTCTTCAAATGGAGATAGGTACATAAATACACATTTAATTTTTTCCCGTATTTTCGGCCGGGTTGTATTTTAGGCCGAGGTAGTAAGAAAAATAGTATACACTACACGGGCAGAAAGTGTGAGAGTCCTGAACTGCGCGCCATGATGCCCTCGGCTTCGCCTCGGGCATCATGGCGCGCAGTGCAGGAATCTCACACTTTCTGCCCTTGTAGTGTAATATACTATTTGTATTGCCTCAATTAAAAAATTAAAATTAGCGTGATAGCGACATACACACACGTTATGCGGCATTTGTGATGATAATAGAACGTGCTTGGGGCGCAACTGGTAAAATTTAGTAATCTGAATATTTGTATCTGGTAATTCTTGCTTAAATAGTGCAAATGCCTCCTTAATCGTCATTATAAGATGTCTTTTTTGTAAAGATTCTCTCTTACCAGTAATTGGATTTTTGACACTTTTTGTGTCTCTTTTTCCTGGGGCCTGTCTGCTAACATCATCACGTAGGTAAAAAATATTGACAAGTCTAACATCTTCAGTAGATGTAGTAAGTCCATGAATTATTGTGGGCTTCTCGTCACGCAACTTTTCGGGGATAGTTTGTAAAGCTAACTTCTGCACTTCAATTTTTCTTTTACGAGGACTTCCTTCCAAACCAACGTTTGAGGACATCTGTAAGGACTATAAGACTGCTCAATATTTTGTCTCATTTGTTTAATCTTTGATCTGTAACGCCTCATTCTTTCAGTAACTTTTAATTTTTCAATTTTTCGTAAATGACTATCAAACTACAACTTTTCTTTTTTCTTTACTTTTTCAACTTTTTTTCTTTCGGCATCTTTTTTTAAAAGTGCAATTCTTGTAATTTCGTCACTTTTAATTTTTTCTCGATAACGTTGTGCGTTTTCCTTTTGATCTGTAAAAAATATTCCACCGGTATAAAAATCTCTCGAAAAATCTTTAAACAAGGTTAGAATGAGAATTTGTGTGTTTTTAATTTAGTCTAATTTAACCGTAAAACAAGATACCTAAATGAAAAATCTAAAAAAAATTACTTAAACATTTTTTGCTTACGGACATAAAAGTTTAATTTAAAAAAAAATAGATTCTTGACATATCTAAAAAAGCTTAATATTAAGCTTATATACTTGTATACTGACAAGAGGCAAAATGTGTGTTTTTAAAAATAAATAATTTAGTCAAAAATTATTTATCTTCATTAAGAAATATTAAGTATTACATCTTTTTGATGACAGACCCTACACTAACAACATAAAATAAATAAAGTTAATAAAAAAATACTACTTACCACAGACCTACTGCTACTTACCCATTTTGATTTACAAAATCGTCACCAAACACTCTGATAATTAGTATTTTAATGAAATAAAATAATGACAGTAACTGTTGTATAATAAATGACATAATCACTGAACAATAGCCTGCTAAATAACTTAAGTTTTGATTCATTTTGTTAGGATGCGTTCGCATTAAGTAAAATATTGTTTTAAGGGCCTAATAATGGAAAATATATTATTTTTATATTAAATATGTAAAATTTAGAATACGTGCACAATATTTCATATTAAAGGTGTTGCATATAAACAATTTTAAATTGTACTCCTTAGTTTCAAATTCTCTGGAATGGCTGAGCTTTTACTACAATTTTTCATTTTTGTTTATAAAAAACACTTTAAAAAACTAAACAAAAATTATAGAATACGTATACTGAAAATGACAATTCAAACGTCAAATAAATTTTTAATAGGTCTAAGTTTCATGGCAATTAATTAAGGGAACATAAATGTATACGTCAAAGGTTAGATTAAAAGTTTGAACGTTTATTGCAACAAAACAGTAAAATATATAAAAAAAATTGTAAAAACCTTTTTTTAGTTATGCAAATATTAAATATTTAAATTAAATCGCTAGTTTTAATTGGATAATTGAAAGAGTGCATAATATTTTTAATAAACAGCCAATTAAAACAATTCAAACCGTCAATTTTTTTTTATTTTGCTCTTAAAATTTTAGTTATGACCTAATTAACAAGAATATAAAAAAATTAGGTTTCACAGAAAGTTCAAAAATCACCTCTCAGAACAGCACCGTGACAAGTTTTGTTATTAAAAGCATAAAAGCTTCAATTTAATTTGGACCATATTTAACAATTATTTAGTATAGGTACCTATATTTATTTATATTAACACACTTATTTATTTTGGTCAAAATACTAAACTTAAAGTACAAAATTAAATGATATTTTTTGTTCTAATACATTAACCTACCTTTGATACAGATATTTGTATTCCATATAGAGAAGCTAGATTTTTTTTATAAATGCGGTTTAGTTAATATTATTTTATGGAAAAATGTAGACCCAATGCACAAAAATATCACTTAGAATTTCATTAAATGCAGTATTTATATTCCTAAATTCTAAAACCAACCATTGCTATTGTGATACTATAAAGATTTATTAATTTAACGCTTAAACATAAGCGGTAAAACTATGAATATTATTTCTTTCATTAACAGATACATAACCTGAAAAGCCTTAAATGCCAAATTTTCAATAGACTGCGTTCCGTATGTGGTCACGTGGTCCCACCACTTTGAGGTGTGGATCATAGTACCTAAACCCTACTTATCAAACTTTTGTGAAGTAAATTTTATTAGAGGTTCGAAAAAATTATTTTACTAAACAAAATATAATGAAGAGCTTATTGAATTATGCATTTTGACGGCAAAATCTTTAAAAGCCATAAATCAGATCTTTTGCAAGAGGGATATGTTAGTTCGGAAAAAAAATTACTTAGAAAATTACAAGGACTATCTGTATAGAAAAGTAGGCTAAAGTTTTGGTAGGAATGCTTGAAACTGTTGCAGAAGAATCCGACCTAGATTAAAGTTTTTTTTAGGTAGTACTAAAGAATTATAGAGGTTGATTTTGATTTTTAAGAAACATCAAGTAAAATCACTTTTTTGTTTTTTTTATTATAGCCCAATTTTAAAAGTAATCGATCCCAAACCTAACGGTAATCAAACATAACCGAATGGACGATTTTTTGAGGTACTGGACTTTTTTCAAAAGTTACTGCTTTTCAATGTACAGGGGGTTCTTTTTTCAAAAAACACATTTTTCCCAAACGGCTTGAATGAGTCAGTTCGTTCTACCCTAGATTTTTAGGTACACTTATCCTTGTAACGAATCCGTAGTTTTTTTAAATTATTTTCTTTGCAAGTGCCCAGAGCTGTTCCTAGTACAAGAAAAAAGTACTCGAGTAAAAGAACAAGTAGGTACTTTGAAAAAAATGTACTTGAGTACAAAGTACAAAGTACAAAAAAATCCAAAAGTACTCACAAGTACAAGTACAAAGTACAAAGTACTTTTTCCAAAAACTCTTAAAATGTAATTTAGGTTTTAGTATCTAACAAAAAAAGTTGTTAAAAGTTAAACAAAACAAAGGTTTAGGTCACTATAGGGATATTTAAAAAAAACTGCATTTTTATATTTCTTTAATACACGTATTTATTTATGATTTGAATATTTTTTTTTCAAATAACCAATTATTTCGATTTTAAACAGAAAAAAATAATATTAAAATAGATTAACTATTCTTTTACATATAACCCTTATTATCTATAGGTATACCTATTTATGCAAGTAATTTATTATATATTTTATTTAATAAATAGCCTAAATATTATTTAATTGCAAGCACGAAATTAAATTAAAGTAACATGCATTTATGAAAAAACAAGATTGAATGCAAAAATATAACCTAATTTTTTAAGCGTACCAAATATAACAAAAACTTAATCGAGTAGGTAATCAAATACAAAATAATATTTAAAATATTACTTACCCCAGTATAACAAAAACCAAAACTCGTAAAATAATACTAATGCAGATTCTGTATTGCAGAATAATCTCAAATTTCTTAAAAAAAAAACCGTCACATATGACATTATGACGGCACTACCAGAGATAAAAAGGGCACTACCTCTTGCAATATGTAATATCTCTATAAAGTAGGGCACCACAATGATATTTTACTTTACTTGCCCATATCAAGGATTTATTCCGAATATTGCAATTATGGCAATAAATTTAAATATGTAGTGTAGTGTAGTTATAGTAGTGGTTATGTTAACTTAACACAAAGATGCCGAGTACAAAAAGTACTTGAGTACAACAAAAGTACTCCAGTAGGCACATCAAATGTACTTGAGTACAACAAAAGTACTCGAGTACAACCAATGTACTCGTGTCCATTTTTACATTTTTAAATTAAATAAGTACAAGTACAAGTACTTTTTTTTAAATGTACTCTGGACTGAGTACCGAGTACATAAAAAGTACTTAAAGTACAAAATTTGAGTACAATTACTCGAGTACCGCTCAGCTCTATAAGACCCCACAAAAATTAAAGTTATGAAAAAAGAACCCCCTGTAAGCGGTAACTTTTAAAAAAAGTCTAGTACCTCAAAAAATCGTCCATTCGGTTATGTTTGATTACCGTTAGGTTTGGGATCGATTACTTTTAAAATTGGGCTATAATAAAAAAAAAAACAAAAAAGTGATTTTGAAAGCAACGCTCAACTTTGCACACTGCGCATAGCAAAAGGGCACATCATATACATTAGTAAATAATCAAAAGTATTAGAGGTGAAATTCTGAAAAAATGCACGGTTAGCGAGTTATGAGCCAAAAAGCAAGAAAACTCCCCTTTCGGGGGATGAAATTACGGGACGCGGAAAGAAATTTTTGGGGAATATTCTTGATTCATTATCAGCACCCCTGACTCTACATAAAAAAAATAAAACCCGACTACCATCGAGTTTTCCTTCTACAATCTTTGTTTCCTTGATTAAAGGTCATTTTAGTAAAAAATTGATAGTAAACATACTTTTTTTTAACGGTTTGGTTGTTTTTAGTGACTAATCTCTATAATGGACGTGGTTCAACACTGATTTTCGACATCATGTCCCAACCCTATTGTTTATAACAATGCCACAGCCCCATTGTTTGTACATACGGCATACTTAAGTACCTCTCTAACCAACAAGTAAAGTTTCCTCATATGCTATTTTTGCTAGCAAGATTTGATAGTTAACTATGTCAAATGCCAAGAAGTTTAACAAATCTTTTTTAAACAACAATTTTACTTATGCATTATCATATTATTAGTAATGCCGTGAATTGTAAGAAAATTTTTATTTGCTGCATATATCTATCATGATAGTGCACTATTTGTAGATATGGTTTGCTGATATGCCCCTAAATAGTACCTAAATTAGTAACTACAAATTTTTCAAAATTACGTTAACCGACATGATATTATAGTTCATATATATATATATATATATATATATATATATATTATAATATAAATGGATATTTTAACGTTGTCATATTGTTGGATATTTTATAAGCATGCGAGTATAATCAGTATTTCACTGCCAATATTAACCTTGAGGTAAAGTTTGGCTAAGCCTTTTAGTTAAATCCTATATTTTATTATTTACTGAGTTTTTTCATTATTATATCATCCTTTTAAAAATGTAAAAATAGATGATTTAGTGTTACAAAATGTGTCCCATTTAATTTTGGATAAATATTCTGGGTATAAAATTAGTTGCAACTATAAACAGTCTTATATGCTTTTATTATTGTTTAAATTAAATATTGTGGTTTTATAATAAACCTATATTAACAAGAACCTACTAGAAAATACATTTATTTGAGGACTATAAAACTGAACATAAAATGGATTTTATAGTTTTATTTATATTTATATGATACAGAAAAAGAAGAACGAAATATTTAACAATTTATTGTTATAAAATAATTTAAAATAAATACATTAATAAATATTCAGCTTTTTTTAAAACGCTGTAAGATTTTCGACAGCGTTTTTTGGATATATTTGAATTTGAATATTCAACGGCTTGGCTTCAATAGTTGACTTCTGGTGGTGAATGTTGCTGCTGCCAATTTTTTTTGTTGGAATTTTTAGCCATTAGTTTCAATAAGCAGCACAGCTCAGGTAACTGAAAAAATACAAAAATATTAATATTTTAAGTTAAAATATTTATGTAAAATGCGTATATAAATAATAATTAATAAATTAAAGAATATAACAACACATAAGCAAAATATTATAGCAGTTATAAAATGTAGGCAGTTATTTTTTTATAAAGATATTTTTTAGATTTATACATAGTTTGCGACACAATTTTTTATATTTTTGTTGTATTATTTCTAAAAATTTTTTAACCCATTTGACTAGTAAATAGAGTAATTAAATTTCAAACCCAAAATATTTCGGATTTTCTTCTGGCCAAAATGTTTTGAATTAAAATAATAATTAAGAAAAATTTAATGATTTTGTAGAGATATATTTTATTTAGTTTTGTCGTTTTAATTTTTCAGTACTCAGTAAATGAAATATTTAAATAAAATAAAAGAAAAAAAGAATATAAAAAGTTCACCTGAAATATAATAATAATAAATAAAAAAGTCAATAGCCTGAATAATAAATAAGGTGGGTATATTTTCAAATCTATTAGTCAAAAAAATAACCAAAAATTGTTGTAGCAAGCATAGATTTTAGATAATTTAGTTTTTTACCAGTATTATTTTTTAGTAAAAAAAATATTAATTCTCCGACAAATACTTAATTTGTTGTAAAATGAACAATACAAGTTTTTTCTTCAAAATGTCAAATAAAGAAGAGAAGTGAAACTTTTAACTCTTAGTATTTGATATAATGATGGAGCATTTCTGTATCCATAAAAAACAGAAGGAAGATCAATTATTCGAATAAATAAAAGCTAAAAATTAAATCAGAAAACATAAAATCGGCGTAAACATGTTGATTATGCATCATTCTCTGTAAAAATATAAAGCAGCGAAGCAGTATTATGATTGTTAAAATCTTGCCATGGCCAGGTGCCGCTGTACCCAAAAATAACTACTTACTTAAAAATAAAAATCTAAAATTAACTTCTTACGCCATCATTTTTTTGAGGAATGCTGAAAATTTTAAATCGAAACGTTTTATAACCATCTAAACTATTACTAACTGCGTGAAAGTTAGTCAGGTAAAATTTTTAAATTAAATTAATAAAAAACTTACGTCCGTAAGGGATGAAGCCATCATCATCTTCTTTGTCCATGCAGTCGGTTAAAACTTCATCAGCTTCACCGTTTTCTAACCTTTCACCTGGGAAACGTAGGGAAACAAATTAAAACCTGTTTATTGACATTTTAGAAATGCACTACACTTTAGATTTCTGGATTTAGAACATTAATCATGTTCCATTTTTTTTTCTATTAAAGAACCGTGAAATTATTAGGTTGGAACCCAGAAAACTCATGTTGTATTTATTATTTTAATACAATTTTCTTAAAATAAAATAAATATTCTATTAATTTTTGTTTACTTAAATAAGTATTAGGCTTTTTATTCTTTTATGCATTAAAATCAAAAATTTAAAATCTATATTAATAAAAAATGAAATATATATTAACAAATGTGTTTCAAAATTAAAAGAAATGGTTTATTACTTACCAAGGGAGAGAAGGGTGTGGGAAAGTTCAGCGGCCATCATTTTGCCGTTTTCATCTTTGTCGTACAATTTCAGACATTCAATGAAATCTTCGAATGTACCTTGTTCTTTGTCTTTTTTGCATTGGCTGAAAATGGGCAAGAACTCGTCCAACTTCAATTTTTTTTCGTTCTTCTTTTTGGTGCCGCCCAATTTTTCTATGGCTGCCAAGGTGGGGTTCAAGTTGAGGGCGCGGAGCATGTCTCCAACATTGACGGCATCGATAACACCGCTGCCATCGAAGTCGTAGATGGAAAATACGAAGGTTGCCCCTAAAAAAAATTAAATATTAAAAATGCCTTATTACATAAATACATTAACTAAATTAAAGAAATTAGGTAACACGGTTCACGAAAGAAATAATATTGTAAAAAAAATGACACGAAATTGTTAAAAAAAAAATAAGGAGGTTTAAATTATTTATTTATCCATGTCTATTTAATGTATTGATACCCCTTACCCTTTTCCTAATTAAAAAAAACGAAATAATTTTGTTAAGAAATTTTTTGTTGCATGTCCATTTAAAAAGTTAGAATTTAATATTTATAAAATAAATTATATAAATGCAAGTTTTATGTCTAACGGTAATTAATACAATGTAATGTAAGGATATGACAATGATTTTTAATTCAAAAATCTTTGTAAGAAAATTAAATACATTAAATAAATAAAATAAATAAAAATATAATTATTTTCAACAAATAGAAGTATTTAAAATTTTTGGGGAATAAAGAAAGATTTTATGAAACCTTGTATTAAGTACATGAATATCAAACCAAAGTCTGAATGTTATTGTTGTTGTTGTATGACAAGCATAACCTGTATGTAATACACCTCGTTATATCAATTTTTATGTTAGATATATCTTTTCTCTCTAAAGTTAGGTTATTAATAATTATGCTTCATTGTTTGAGTTATTTATTTTTCTCTAATCACCCGACTGTAGAAAAAACGTAATTAGATGAAATTGTACTAAAAAACAATTGAAAATCATTATTTATAAAAAGTTTGTTACGAAAATCCTATAAATTTCATAAATTGTCAATGTAAACGCTTTATATCTCAACAAATATCAATCTTAGCGATTCAACTGATAAGACCTTTTTAAAGAAAATTAAATTTTCTACAAGTTTGTCCTTGGCCATTTTTTCAAAGAATCCGGTCACTTTTGAAATATCTTCAAAAATATGAGAATATTTCACTAAAATAGGATTTAGTGACCCGTACCATCCTACAGGTGCAAATTACAACTATGGCACATAAAGCATTTTTGTAGAACTTTTGATTACGAGTAATTTCTTTTTTGAAACAATCCAATAGCATAAAATGCGGCTGAGATATAGACATTTAAAAAAAATAATCAAAGTTTACGTGTATTTTAAATGGGAAATGTTTATAGGCTTTGGTAGAGTACTTTTCAGGGAATTTTTTTTTGAACATTTTCAACAAGATTTTGAGTTGGGTGCGAAAAAATAAAAATAGTCGTGAAAAAAGCAACCTAATATATATATTTACTATTGCCTTGGACCTCTGATAGATCTAATATTTTTTAAAATTAATTTCCTACTTAACTCCCATTTAATGGGCTATTAAGACACTCTCGATCTCATTATAACATTCGTCTTCATGCTCATGTCATAATGGTCATCATTAAAAGGTCGTTGCTTAAAATACTTATTATGTACATAAAAGCAGTGGCGGATTTACCAGCAGGCTGAGTAGGCTCGAGCCTAGGGCGGCAGATTTTGGGGGCGGAAAATTTGGGGAACGATTTTTTTTTTACCTCATAGAAATCAAAAAGATTTTTCTATGACGGTTTTCTGATGTCTTACAGATAGAAGTCTGCAACAAATTTTGTCGATGACTTTTCTCTCTCACTTGTCATTGCACATTCCGAGAGTAGCAAACTTCCATATTCTAGAGTAAAACAGCTAGTTCGCCGCCCCTCAACCAGTAATCGGCCTCTCGCCTCTGCGCCCTTTGCCCACACTTAAGAATTCTTATGAGTGAAAAGAGCGAAATTGTAAAAAATATGCCAGTCTTACTACCGGTTGGAGGCTACGAACTGGATGGTTTGTAAAGGGTGTCCACTTAAGAGTGCTCTAACTTTAAAATGAAATAAAACAAACTACACTTAAGATATTAGGAAAAAAATATATTTATTTAAAAGAACATCCTATGGCATTAATTATGAAAAATAACATCTTTCAAATGCCCCCGCGGCTGCGCTCCACAGCGCGCATTCTGCAGGTCAAATTTTCTATCACTTTTTCTCACATTTCGGGTTCGATTTCATTTATTATACGAGAAATGTTGGCCTTCAGTGCTTCAATTGTTCGTGGCTTATTCACGTATACAAGGGACTTTACGTAGCCCCACAAAAAAGTCCAGCGGCGTTAGATCGCATGATCTCGTTGGCCACTGGATATCGCCGCCGCGTAAAATGACGCCGTTGAAACGTTTGGAGAATTAAACATTAATTTTGTTGGTAAAATTGAATAATTTGAATGCGTTGAGCAACCGTGTAACGCTCCATTATCAAATGTCATAATATGCCAACAAAACTTCAAAATATTTGACAGCTGTGTCTGTACTGACTTAGCCATAGCCGCCTATCAAACATCGAGCGTACCTAATTGGACACCCTTTATATAATTTTTCGATTTTTATTCGAATATAATGAATAATTTAGTGAATAATTTTACCGATTTCAATTTTATGTATCGACTATTATGTGTTTCACATGCACTAGTAGCTTCAGAAAATTCGATTGGAATTCAAAAAAAATCTTGAACAGTAATAGCGAGATAGTCTTAAGTCAAAAAAATATTTTTTCCCCGAACGCGGTATTTTTTTAATGCTACAATGTTATCAATGACGTCAATGTTGCACGTGCACGTGGCGAGCTTATACCGAAAAATTATTTTTATTGCATTGTAAAAATAATGTATGATATAACAATTGTTGAGGCAAGGGCGGCAAAAACTATTCAGCCTATACCTTGAAAATTTGTAAATCCGCCACTGCATAAAAGTATAGTTAAATACCCGTAACCACTAAAAATTAACCCCTGAAATGATACGCCACTGATTTGATATTGAAAATAAAATAAAATCTTTTTTTGTATAAATATTAAATTTAAAATTGTTAAATCACCATATTTATGATAAAAAAATTAAATTTATTTAAAATTTAAATAAAAAAAAATTGTCGGTAATATTTTTTATCTTTTGGAAATGGGATCTTATAATATCTTATACTATTATATTATTACATTTTCGAGGCAATTTTTTTTAATGCTTTTTTTGTCCACCGTGCCACGGTGACCGTGGTATGGTTATATTGTATTACTATTTAAACAGAAGAAGTGATAAATCAAAACCAAACTGGCAAAATTGGCGAATGCGCCGGGATATAAAAATATTATAAATTAAAATATTATATTATAAATTATAGTATAACAAGTTTTATTGGTTACATGTATACAGTCCAAGAATATATTAATGCATTTTGATCTATTTCGCCAAAAATGTAAGGTGTAGGATTTAATCTTTTTTTAAATTATTCAATTGTCATTTTTTTAACATTTCGCTCACACATGTTTCTTGTAAGAAAACTCAAAATGCGATTTTAAAATTTCTTTACTGCCAAATTTTGTACAACCCTTTTTATGTATAGGCTCTACGTTACTTGAGTAATAAGCAATTATTGTATCGTGGAATTAATTAATTAATTAATTATTGCACTCGGGCGGAATATGATAATTTACTCTTGTTATATATATATGCTTAATTTAGTTTTAAGATAAAATTGGAAAAAAGTGAGGTTAAAACAGTTGTCAGATCTTAGATAAAATGCCAAAAATGGCCTAAATTGTATAAAAACATTACTTTGTGTCGTATATAAAGTATGGTAAACAATTCGTTTAAGAAACTTCTTTAAGCACTGGTTTATTAAAAATTTGCTCCGTAAGCTACGCTCGTGCATAATTAAACTCGTGATTTAAATGGCGTTTATAAAACTTTTTACATACTTGTTTATTAAGTATCTAGTTTTAAAAACGTCATTAATACACTCCTTTAATTATGCACGAGCGGAGCTTGCGAATTGAGTTTTTATTAAATCAGTGATCTTACTGATCATACCTTATTTTATTTACGACAAACGCAAATCACTGTTTTTTATAATTTATGCCGATGCAAATTCAGATGAAGCCTAGACTGGGCCAAAAAAATCAACTAAGTTTATCGAAAATATGGTTTGGGATGACAAAAAAAATTATTGTGCAAGTTTGAGTCCATAATATTAATATTAAGAGGTCAATCAACCCAATTTTAAATTTTTTTCCTGAGCGAGTTTTTGTCTCAAAACTCCCAAACCATTGAGTTTAACAAAATTTACTCAGATATATTTTTTAAGGAAATTAAATGCTCTACAAAAAAGGTTAAAACGAAATTTTCCGTCAGTTGAACCGTTTCCTTAAAATCATGCTTTAAAAATTGGTATAGTTTGACATTTTGATCTTTCCCATAAGAATATCTATCGGTTTTTTTCCGGGTACTGATTTTTACATAAATTACAAAATTCCAAAGTTAAAAGATCAAATTGTAAAACTATACCAATTATTAAGACATTACTGTAAGAAAACGGTTCATCTGACGGGAAATTCCAATTCAATCTTTTTTGTAGGGCATTCAATTTTCTTTGAAAAATATTCTTAAATCAATTTGCGCAAAAGTAAGGTTAAATTCGTCAGATGTCAAATATTCAACAATAAATTGGCTTTAAATTCTTATTTGTGTTGGTCGTAGATAAAGTATAGTGTGCAACTACTTTTATAAACTTCCCTAGGCCCTCGTTTTTATGAAACACTCGCTCGCAAGGTTCACTACTAAAACCTGTAACTAAAATGGCGTTTATAAAACTTGATACAAATGTAGTGGTAGATCATATACTATAATTTATAAACCACTAACCCATATCCTATATTTTAATATTAAATTAAACTATTTTCTTTAAAACACCTTTATTAATAATAATTTTGTCAATGACCAAACTATTTAATGAATGCATTTTTATTTGGGCCCCAATTGCTCATGTTCTTGACCTTGCATTTATTATCGAAAATCAATGTTAAACAATTAAAGCATTTCCGTAAATCATAATTGAAATATCAGTAAAATAATAATTATTGTAAAAACAAGAATTGGGTCAGTAAAACGCGTCCAGAAATTGTATCACCGCGACAGCTAAACATAGAAATTTTAGATCGTCAATTTAATTATAGACCGGCTGTAAGATTGGGAGCTAGCGCGGCCATATAAGTTCTCCTGTTTATTATTAGAACTTTGCCACTTTTCCACCAATCGCACTGTAGTACCTACTGTTGCAATCAAAAATAGATTTGTGTTTTTGTGTTGTTACGATGATATCCGTAATAATTGCTATTTTATCTGTAGTTAAATCGGAATTTTTGAGTTGGAAATGTTACAAAAATGTTACTTCTTTTAATATGTTCTTCGTATAATTTATATATGTGCTTTTCTTGACACATTTTTTTAATTTTCCCAAAATCAAGAGTATTTTAAATTTTTAACCTCTAGAGGTAATTTTAAAATTTCAACTTGGTTAAGTTAACCAAATAAAAAATATAACAAACTTAAAATCGAACAAAAATCATGTGACAAATTTTGTTACACAAAAATTGCCTAAAAAATAATATGCTTCAATATTATGTTTATAGTTATACACATAATAGTGAAGAATATTATTATAATTAAAACGTCCAAATAATTATACCAACAAAACAAAAAACTTATTCTTTTGTAAAAATTATACGTGACAATTAAGTTAATTCTAAAATATGAAAACGTATGAGCCTTTAAAAAGTAAATGTTATGTTATATTTTATTATTATTTCAATTTTATTATAACACAAAAGAAAAGTAAACATGTAAAATTACTTTAAATATTGTCCTTAAGTAGGTTGTCAAATAAAATTAGTAATTCTATTAATAAAAACTGTACTCACTTTCAACGTCTCTAGCTGCCAAATCTGCCTAAAAAATAAAAATAGAATTAGTATTATTAAAATAAACATTCTTTGATCACAATTTTGTAATTCGTTAAATAATTAATTAATTCATTCCAAATTAATTGCAAAAGTAAAACAAAAAAATGTTAAATTTTGATCGAAATTTCATTCCTTATATTTATATTGTGATCCAAGATGCAAGAAAACATTAACTTAAGTATAGGACATTCACAAGTAAACAACATATTGAAATTAAGACAAATAATTGGTTGGTTATACATTTATGGACGTTACGTTAGTTTTACTTAGTCTTGTGCTGCTTTCAAAAAATATATAAAACATTAGTGTCAAACAAAAAAGTGGATTCCAAGAGTAATAGTCTCCAGAAATACCCAAAACGTTTCCAGTTGAGTTGTATCCACAATGTTAAAAAATCGAACACTCTTTAAAAAATGTGTCGTACACAAAAAAGTCGTAGCACAAAAATTGTGGGTGTACACTGCACAAAATCACGAAAAAATTCATCACCTACATGTAGCTTAGTTCTGAAATAAATATATAAAATTTGATAATAATCGTACGTAATACAGTAAGAGAAAGGAAAATAGTTAAAATTTCTGTACTATTTTGGCTTCGTAAATTTTGCGTTTCCAAAACCTGAAGGCTCTAGCGTAGATCGGCTCGCCGGGCAATTTTGGCATTTCGTTCATGGTTTTGCAGAGTGTGACACACCGACAGACAGACAACAGATTTGGCAAAATAATTTTGAGTGACCGCGCACCGTGTAAACGACTTACCATTGTGATGGTGGTACTGTAACTTGCCTTCTAGTTTCTCTCGACCAGAAGTGGGGCCAAGAGAGCAAAGCACTGCTTGTTTTATATGAATAGATGGCGCTGCCTACCTCTGAAACTGAAACCCAACGTTCATCCTAGTTTCAGGCATAGCGAAAAGTTCCTGCGAACGGCAACGTTGCCAAGTCAAACGATTAACTGTATAACTATGGATGTATTTTTGGCACAACTTGTTATTTGTATTTGGGATCCTATTGTTATATTGTGGAAACCTTGTATTTTATATTAAAATATAATTACTGTATAGACCAGATAATTTTATGAACTAAAAAAATAGAAGAATTTTGTTTTATAATGTTATACATATAAATAATAATAATAATAATAATATATAAATATTACTGTATTAGGTAAAAAAACATAATCTAAAAACAGTAAATTTTAAAATCACAAAACAAAATTTTATTGATATATTGCCCATAACACGAAATTTTGAAATTATAAATTCAAAGTTAATGCAATTATATTATTTATAAATTATTATAGATTTTATAAATAAATAATGGTATTTATGTATAATTTTAGTTTTTGTAAAAATTATACACTGCGCGTCAAAATTAACTCATAATAAGTAAAAAAATTCTAACTCTAAAACGCCTATACCAATCTTTATGAAATTTTGTATAAGAATACTTCAACTTATATCTCAGTTTACGTGTTCGAGGGTTTTTCGAGAAAATATTTAATATTAAAAAAAACACTCGAAAAAAAAAATTTTTTATTAAAAAAATTCCCTATAAAATTTTTTTTTCGAGTGTTTTTTTAATATTAAATATTTAACTTAAAGTTGACACTCATTAATAAAACTTATAAATTTATAATAAGATAAAATAAATGTACTTACCATTAAACAGAACGAAATTTTGTGTTAAACACAAAATTTCGTTAACGCAAGAAAAATGCCACAATACTCAGTTTACAAAAAATTTATTGTTTAACCAGAACCCCTTTTTCTCCTAGAGTGAAATTTCGTGCTGCTTCCGAAAAAAGTGTTTTTTTTTTGTTTAGCTCTAGATGTCAAGATAAAACCTCGAAAAATGCACTGTTTAATAATTTAATTATAAAAAAATTTTAAATTGAAAAAACCAAGAAAAAAAATAAAATAGTTGTATGGTGCGATTCCTGTCGCCGTGCAAACATACAACAATAATTGTTAAAATTGTTAATAATTATAAGTCTTTTTTTAATTTGTAGTGGACAAACGCTGGGAAGCTTACATTTTACCTTAGAAAAAATCTGGTTAAACGAAGAACAATGTTGTCGAAATTTGTAAACTAATGCTTGTATACTACAATGTATACGTCAGAAATGTTAAAAAATATGATATTTTTATCACTTTTAAAAAAAGTTATGCAGAAAGAAGCGCCAAACCAATTTAAAATCCATCATTAGGTACTTTAAAATCCATCATTAGGCATTTGTAAGTTTAACGCTTTTTTTATTTTCTTAAAATAATATGTTTTTTGTGTTATATATTAATACCTTAAAGTCTTAATATAACTATTTTAGCAGTTAAGGTCTTAATTTCCTAATCACGTAGTATTCAACCTAACAGTTGGTAAAATTTGCTAATAACATTAAATTTTTTTCTATTGATTAGCACATTTTTTTGTTTCTTCAGTTTTTAATAAAATAAGACATGCTTCATAAAAAATCACTTATTTAAAACAATAACTTGTAATAGTATATTAGGTATCAAGTTTGATAAACGCCATTTTATACACGAATATAATTTAGGCACGAGCGAGCTTGCGAGCGAGTGCTTAAATTAATGAGTGTATAGAAAAGTTTATAAACGAGGTGAATACTATACTTTTTTTACGACAAATACTTATTATTATCTTAAAATGATTTAAATCAAAAATTTGTACAGAGCGCCATCTATGAAACAATAAGGGAAACTGTGTGTCAACGTCAAATGTCAAATTTTTGTATTTTATAAACACACATTATAAAGGTTATAAATCGAAATGTATTGCTTGAAAATTGAGAGTTTTTCACATTGAAAGTAAAGAAAATGTTTCATGAGCACTTTACAGTGGAGTCCGTGCCCGAATTTAAGTTATAGTTTACTGCCGGCTAAATTAAAAGGTCAGTACAATGTTCATATAAACTTTTCAAATATTGGCGTTGAGAATCTATTTAATACTTTTGTATTTTTGGATTGAGATAATAATAATAATAATTTTCACATTTAGTATTATTTTACAAGAGGCACTTTATTTTAACGATTGTATGACATTTGACAACTGTAAACTAACTTAAAACCAACTTCAGCCCGTGACTAAAGCGCCATAAAGCCACAACTTGTCAATGTGTATTTAAAAGGTCACTTAGCGTCATGGAAACTTACGATAAAGGGCGTTTTAAAGGTGGGAGTAGAAAAAATATCTTTTTAAACAAATTAAATATTTTTTTCTATTAAATCAATCAAAAATTAAAAATGTTTTCCTTAAAATCATTGACACTTCATTTTATTTAACTAAGCTTGATAAGGATCAAGACTCCATAATAACAACTAAAAATAAAACCTTTTAAATCTGCTTTAAAAAAGTTAATATTTGCGAAGCTTTTGTAAAAAGCTTTTGTTTTTATATAAAAATCTTTTTTTGTTTTTTGTTTCTGTTTAAACCTATATTTTTGATATATATATATTTTCTTAAATTGTTTAATGAATCTTTCAACTACATTAGTTTAGTTTCTAAATAAACATTTTTTTCTTGGGCTGGATTAACAATCAGATTCGTCTGCCTTCCAGTCCATTTTGTTGTATTATTATTAAAATGAAATGTATTATTATTTTATTTTTACAACAAATACATTATTATTATTATTATTATTATTATTAGTTTTACCTTAATTATAGCACAAATTTATAATTATAATTAAAATAATTAAAAATATTGATTTTCAAATTTTTTTTATTTATATTATAAAATATTTTTTGTTTGAAATTTGCCGTATTTTTCGTATAACTTCGTAATAACTTTTAATCCTATGAAGTTATCAAGAAAAGCCAGGGAACAAAAAATATTGTTAATAGACCAAGTAATCTAACTTTTATATCAAATTTTACCAGTTGCATACAAAAAAACTTTGGTAGGGTTATCAGGAAAATATCGGTATAAAAACAAAATTGGTTTTTTGATATAAATTTAAATGATTTATCTTTTATATTTTGGAAGCTATTAATACCCTGTAACTCAGAAAGAAGCAATAACCATTCATATGTATTTTTAAAGTTATAATAACTTTTTACACCCACTGCTACTAAAACCTGGAACACCCTGTTTTACAAAAAATCATACTGTTTAGGCGTGGGCCCTACTTCGGTAAAATTTTATTTATCTGGAATGTGTGGTTATTTTAAATTCATTCCTGCTAAATTTAAGATAACTTGATATGTCTGGCAACACTGCAGAGTCGAAATGTACCGTGTAGTCATTGCTGAGTAGTTCCAAAAATATCTAATTCTTAGGTGGGAGTGGTCAAGAACAAATGAATATAGAATAGGTAGCAGCAACTATAGTTAAGTCCGGAATGCTTAAGGTGCTCTAATTTGGTGTAACGTTTTTCATGAATCAGCGCCATACGCATTTTACATATGTCCATATTTTTGTTTTACCTAGATTTTTGGAACATAAAATATTTATTACGAACTATATTATGAACAGTGATGCAACATTTGGTGAAGTTTACACAATTTTCTTAAGTGTTATATCTGTATTAAGTGAGCTTAGAATTTAAAATTATAAAAAACTATAGTTATTTGAAACAAATATAACGTACCATCCAAAAATTATTACCATTTTTATTAATTAGCTAGTTTTCATTCTTGTGTAGCCTAATTTCTTTACTTTCAATAAATGGTTAAACTTATTTCTTTGTTAATAAGGGAAAATGGCAATCTTTCTAACATTTTTCAAGATACGCCAAAAACGCTTTTTGCCCTATTTTCCTAATTTTCCAATACTTTTAGAATTTTAATATAAATAAAAATTATTACATTTTTTTAATAAAAAATTTTGTAATGTGAAATAAATTATTTTTATAAACTATTTTGCCCAATCAGGAATTGACACTAAAGTGTTAAACTTATATATATTTTTTAAATATATAATAATATATATAAATTTACGAATTATCATTATCATTAATATATTTCGGGTGGAGACTCCACCATAAAGTGCTCATAAAACAGTTTCTTTACTTTCACTGTTAAAAACTGTTGTTTTTAAGGAAATCATTTCGATTTACACATAATATAGATTCTCAAGTTGGTTACTCTATTGTTTTATAGATGTCGCTTTATACAAATATTTAATTTAAATAATTTTTATATAATAATAAGTATAGTAGTAGTATTGTTTATAAACTTTTCAAGACACTTATTTATTTAAACACTCGCACCTAAGCTCGCTCGTGCCTAATTTAAATTTGCGACTAAAATGGCGTTTATCAAACCCAAACAACACAGTACGTTTTAAAAATGTACATTTTTGGTTATAGTTACGTACTTACGTCTTAAGACCAAAAAAATATGTATTAAGTACCTACTATATATTATGTACATAAAATGTAAGGTTCAGTCGTCCTCAGTACGTACATAATATGTACGAAGAAGGTATGTACAAAATACTTAACCAAAAGTTTGAACAAAAAACTTATGATCTCCTATAAATAATTTCAAATTCTTATTTTGTACACATACCTACCTAATAATAACAAACGATAGATTAAAATCAAAAAAGAACAAAAAGTTCAATTTTGAAATAAAAATAATACAAACTAACAGTGTATATTTATCATTAATCCAAGATACAAGCCCTTTTATTTGAATTGGGTAGTACCTAAGAATTTAGTCATAATTTATTGTAAGGATTGATTTTATTGAAAATGATGAAAATTTTTGTTGACTAGTGAGAATCAAACTCAAGACATAGTAATAAAATCTATGTGGTGGTAATATATATATATATATATATATAATATATTATATATATATATATATATATATATATATATATATATATATATATATATATATATATATATATATACATATATGTATAGGTCCTCAGAAAAAGAAGCATGTTCTAA